GCACTCCCCTGCAACTTGGTGTCTGATGTACCCAAAAAACCGTTAGCTTGGAATCAGGGTGTACACGCACACACTCACCTTAACAGGGGGATGTGCGATAGCAAGTCGACAGTGCTGAGTCCTCGCACGGTACACAGCGAAGGAGGAGGATTTTCTAGAGCATGAGCCAAAAATTTGGAGGTGCGTCAACCGCTTCGGTGGGAATCGCAGAGGTCGAAATCCAGGCCAATGACACCATTTGAGGCACAAATTGAACCTAAGTAGAATTTCGTGCACCAGGATCTGGACCTGAGAAGTGTTCCCTCATTTTGATTCATGTTTCGAGCTAGGGAAAACTCATCTTGATTATTTCTCAAACTAGGGAAAATTGTGAGACCTGTGTGCAGACGTGTGGAACGAACTCAACGGCTGCCTTGTAACCTTCCCTACATGGCAAAGACGCTCGCGGCAATGATTCTCACCCTTCTTTTCCCCAGAAGGTCATCCTGGCTGAGTTTGTATGTTGGCCTCATGCCGCATGTTCTGCTTCTGGAGAGAGGATCTTGCTTGGGTGCCATTAAGTTCTAGGCCCTACAATCTCATGAAGCTGACTAGGTTTCCAAAGTTGCTTCCCCACCTTGGTTTTCATGGAACAAAGTTGATGTCCATGTATAGGGACATGTGGGGATCTGGGGGTATTTACATTCAGGGCACTCTATTATGAAGCTGGCTTTGCGTCCGGATTCCGCGTTTGAAAACGAGCTGAACATCTTCGTAGGATGTGATTGGTGGGGCAAAACCTTTGCTCGGCCGGACTAGCACCAAGCCAGCCTGGGTCCCAATGCCCCTCTACGAGACCGTACACCTCGCTTGAGCTTTACGGTGCTAATGAGGGGGCGGGGAGTGTTTCGCATGGTGCCCTGTCCACCTATCTAGCATTGCAGTCCAGATTCTGGTACAAGCGGGGTGCTTATTGAAAGAAACGGTGCGTGTTATAACGTTTGAGGACATGGGAGTTGCAACACTGTAGTTTCTGAAAGTTTACAAGGATTCTCTAAAGCTGAGCACGCACTCATCCGGGTATGGAGGTTAAAACACTTGAAAGGAGCACTGGCGTGCGTACAGTGACAAAGAGCTTTGTAAAACGTAAGAAGTGTTGAGGGCCTGTTTTTGAGCCCTCAAATCGCCCATTCTGTCAACTTCAACCTGTCATCCCTGCTTAGTAGGGCTATGTAGGGATCTGCAAGGACATATAGGGACATATAGGGATCTATAGGGTTAAGAGGTCTGTGCAATGGAAAGATGCAGAAAATCAAACACCTAAAGAGCAGGAAAATGAATTCCCAGAATAGGAAATGGGCAACTGGCCATCGCAGAAAATAGGAAATGGAGGAGGACATAGGGAAATATGAAACAATTAGCAGAAAATATGACGAAATATAGGAACTAAAAGGGACCGCCACAAAAAGATTCCAAAACAAACTAGAAAAGCATATGAAATCATATAGTATTTTTCGAATGTTTTTCTATCATGAAGAAAACCAGGTTTTTTGTTATCCCGTATGCATGGACTTCTTAGCTATAGGGGTATATACAGGGACTTGGAGGGATGCCATTTTGCAGCATATGGGTATAGTCTGTCTTCAAACTCTTGGCTCGATGCTGCAGTAGAAGATCTTTCGATAATGTAATGCATCAGCTGTGAGAAGCCCGGAACCCCTCGTCAATTTGCAGGTCAGCCCCCGTGGCACTGCGGACTCATTGGTGCAGGCTAGTAACACATTGAGTCATGCACCGCTGTACAGCTGTAATGTGGGAGGAGCTGGTGAATGGCGTGCTGGGCTCAGAGTTTCATATGTGCATACGCGCGAAGCAATTTGGTTAAGGTCCGTTCAAGACGGGCCGACCTGTCACTTGACCCGGATACTGGCTTTCGTCAGCTAGCCCCCAGCCTAGTTGAGTGCAAGTTCAGGCAATTTCTGTAGATATGCTTTAAAAGGAGTCCAAATACTTCAAGGACACAGCTGTGATTGCCAAATTGAAGCAAGATGAGATTGAGCTGACCAGAAAGGCCTGTGATGATCATTGCCTACCAGAATATACCATATATGCCATAATATATCGTGAGGTTGTGATATATTACAAAAAAAATAATATACTGTAATATACCAGAATATGCCATAACTCATTTTGATAAAGTATAATAGTTGTAATATACCATAACATACGACACTAATATGAGGGCTGAGAAAAATTCCGAATGTCGGCTTTTGGCTTCCTCAAGCTAGAAAGGTACTTGGAACAGTTTTAATGGTAAGAGTAAGCATAGTAACACCAAAGTAGTAATAATGGTATGCACATTATTCATGCCTGGCTTCCAGTTGCCTGGTGCGACTGAGTGGCGCGACGTTTAGCTTTTGCAGATCTTTGCTCGAGTGGATCCAGAGCGGGACACCGCCACCGACTTGAAGGGGTGCGATCCCTACTCTCCAGCCGATCGTGCCCATGTGAACATGTGTGATGCGGCACAGTTTGCTTCAGGCATGAGATAAAGCACAACATTGATCCGTATTGGAGTCCTTTCCATCAAGTGCAAGATCTCAAGCAGCAGGCTTTCCCGCAGCAGCTGTGTTGCTTCTCGGTTTTTTGCTGCTGATGATGCCCCAGCCCGTTGCGGGTGCTCAGCTGCAGAACCTTCAATGAAAAGGGGTGTGCAGTGAATTTTTCGGGCTTTCTATAGGGCCTAGCAATGCGCAAGGCATGAGGACTGCAGGCGATGTTTGACTTTTGACATGCTGCTGCCCTGTAAGCATCATGCTTTCTCCGCCTAAACCCTCCTAGAACTAAACCTCTACAACGTGCTCTGGCAGCTTTGGTAATGGCCTATCATGCTTCCTATGCAAAAAGTTGCAGCCTGGAGTCAGAGTCACACTCTTCGGCGCTCAAAGGAATTGGAACAAAGGGCCAGCAGAGACATCTTACAACGAAACGCCACATGTTCTGAATAGGTCCATCTGCCACTTGCAGCGAGCCTTGTCATGCACCCTCCTTGACAAATTGTGGTTTTGTCGCCCAAGCTGGGATGTTGAGCCTTGACGTCAGTGTGTTGTGCAGGTGACTGCGGAGTTTGACGAGTACCAGAAAATTGTGGGTGCTGCTGAAGCCAAGCGGGCAGGGAACCTTGAAGCAATGCACGATGCATTGATTTAGCTCTTTGCGTCAGACGCGCATCCAAATCAAGCGAAGCTTGGCGAGGCCCAGTGCTGCTAAGACCTCATATCGACTCAAACTAATCCGAGTTTCCATTTTCTTTTCCATTGCTTCATATGCTGGCAGATACATTTTCTTTGCTGTCTCCTTGCTGTTATTTGCAGGATGGCTGGCGTCCACAATCCCTACAGATCGTCCTTTCGAAGTTACCACAAGCGAGAGGTTCCCTGTATTGTCTTTGTTCTACTAGTTGGAAGGCTGCTGTTCAGGTGCCGGATATGCCACCAAAGCCGTTCCGGCTGCCGGACACGTTTTGGGAGCCGACTCCGCTGCAGGCTGCGAAGTTGCGTTTGCACAAGAGAAGACAAGATGGGGCTTTTGAGGTAAGGGGTCCGTTTCGAGAGTCCTCATAAACATGGATCATAGTCTATTGGGATGTCATCGGTTCACCTGTTTATGGAGCCCCAGATGAAGCGCGTAGGCATGGCAACCTGTCAGGCCCAGCTGGCAAAAGAGAAGATCACGTTTCGCGATCTTGACATCATTCAACATTTCTTGGCCGACAACGGGTGCGCTCCTGAGCGCCGGACTTTTCCCGTGCCTTTGTAGTTGAGCGCAAGGTACATCCTACCACGACGGACAACCATGCTCTCTCGCAAAAAGCAGAAGGCTGGGAAGCTGGGAAGAGCAGATTGCATTTTTTTTTGCTCTGGTCATGCTCGACCTTGTGCGGCAAGATGCTGTCTGTATTCACATGTTATTGCGATTCGCATTAGCATCCCAACGCACTAGCACCTCATGTTAATCAGGTTTTCCCATCCGAAGCACAAAGTCCGACTTCACCACAAAACAAGGCTGTGGACGCCATCATCTCTCACAAGCAGCACATATGAAAGTGGTGGTAAGTCTCTCCCTGTCAGGCTTGCAGAACTCCTTTGCCTGTTTTTGAGACCGCAACAACAAACCACACGGCGGTCTTGATGTTTGCAAGGCCTAGATGGCGACAGGGCTTGCTGAGCAAAGCAAGGAGCAGCACCTTTTCCCAGAGGAAAAAGAGTCGGCAGTCCATCGAAATCGCCAGTGAAGCGCACATGGGGTGCAAAATACCACACATTGTGTCATCATGTCAGCTGACCACGCTCACCTTCTGACCTTGCCCCAAAGCTGTATGCTTTAAGGCACGCCAACTTTCCTGCTTTGCACTTCAACCTACATGCAAAACGTGGGTGCGGGACGCACAAGGACAAGCAGAAGCAAGGTTGCGACTCTGCAGTGTTCTATTCAAAGCTATGTTCCCTCATGGTGTCTTTTGACTTCTCTGTTGTGGCATCCATCCCTCCCTCCCTCTCAGTCTCTCTCCCTCTCTCTCTCCCTCTCTCTCTCCCTCTCTCGCTCGCTCTAAACTGTGAAACCCATGTAAACCGCAACTTCAAACCCTGAACATGCACCCTGAAACCAAACGCCAAACACTAACCTTCAATCAGTCACCCTGTGTCCATGTCAAAGGAAAGGTTGGGGTTGACATCTTGTTCCTTAGGGGTCGCTCTGGGAATTACTACCTTCCCAAATATGTTCCCTTGCAAGAACCGCAGGTTGCCTTAAAACCAGCCCTGAGCCCATGTGCATTTATAATAGATAGTGACTGCCAGGGGTCGGATCCCTGTAGTAGCCTTCAGAGGCACAGCAAGAAGAACATGCAAATCTGTACATATGTAGATATGTATATACAAATTACCAGATAGACATGTGTGCTTTCTTGTCGTTGGTCTCCTGGTTTCTGGGATGGCCAGGGGGACTAAGATGTGACAAGTGTTGCACGGGCTGTCGACATGGCAGGAGCTGGTGGCCGCAGTTGTGACGGCTCAGCACATGCCCAGATGCCCAGTTCCTGGCAGTCACGGAACACGACAATCCTTTGCATGTGTGTTTGTGCGTTGCCTGCATGGCAGGGCGTTGCTGCCATACAGGGCTAAGCTGAAGGACTACCAGGCCCGCCTGGGGCGCGTGGCAGTAGAAGAATGCGGATGTGAGAGCTGCTCAAAATTGCCATTATTGCCAAGAGGGTCCTTCAACATGCCATGAGATACCTTCTTCTCTTCCCTTGATCCCTAGGGTACCATTTTTTTTTGAGAAACTTCAGATGACAGACGTGTGAGGTCTTGCCACTGATGGACCCGCTCCAGTGGATGGCGGATCGTTTGACAGATCGGGTTCGCGAGGCAGAGATGGTTTGTAGCTACTCAATTTAGGGTTTAGCGTTTAGGGTTTAGGCTTCTACCGCCTACCTATTGCTCGGTAGGAAACATGGAACCCCTCCTGTAGTAGTTCCTCTCTAGTCCCTGATAATGGCCCCGATAACCCATTCCCTCATTCCCAAGTCAGCACCAAGGAAGCACTGGGAGGATCTAGAAGCATAGATCCCCCTAAAGGGTTCCTACAAATTACCCAAGAGCAGTATAGGGTACCATATGAGGGGTTCCCTAAACCCTAAACCCGAAATTACCCAATAATTGAAAAGAGTACCAAAATAGGGCTTCCCTAAGCCCCAAACCCTATATTACCCAATAGTAGTATAGGGTACCATATTAGGGCTTCCCTGCCCCAAACCCTAAAGTACCCAATAGTAGTGTAGGGTACCAAATATTTGGGCTTCC